ACATCAAACATGAACGCATCCCCAAGTATCTCCGTTACAAAGCCACAAAATAAACCCAACACCATGCTTCCTCTTCATCTTTGTCTCTCCCACACCATCAAACCAGAATCAGTACGTACAAGTGGTAGCATCCTTTTAACAGTTGCCTATGGCTAAAAATATGAAGAACATCAAAGTGGGTTAGGAAAATGTTTAGGGGTTGATTAATTAAAATGAGCTAATCCTAGCTAGTCGAACTCGTGAAACTCCAATCCATATGTAATAAAGGCTTTTGATGGACAGACAGGCCCATGTAAATAATTGAATATATGGAGGTCAATGCTCTCAACTTTCCTAGTGTTTCGGTATTTATTTATTTTATCAAACATTATGCTTGTACATTTTTGTCTAAATATAATAAATGTAGTTAAAAATATGAAAATCTATTAAAATATAATTTTCACTGAGTTAATTGTTATTAAAAAACATTAAAGATAATTATATTATTGAAAATAAAATATATGTAAGACAATTATACTAAAACAGTTTAATCATTTCATTATAATTTATATTTTAATACAATTTGTTTTTTTATCATAATTAATAATAATTTTTTTTACTCTTTAATAGTATTTCACTTAACAAAATAACATCATTGAGTGTAAGTGGTTAACAAAATATATGTAATATTATTAATATTTTGTTACCACACTTAAACAGAGAGAGGAGTTAATTATACTTCTCCTGCTTCTTACTAGATTAGTTAGAAGTTTATCGTAAAAGACTTTCCATAAGAATTAGAGGCCTTTCCAATTTCAACAAGGTACTTACATTTGTTTTTTAAAAATTGTATATATCTGATATAAAATTGTTTCACTTATCACATATTTTATTAAATTTCAGATTTCTATCGATATTAAAATATTTTCTTCTTTTCGATCGTGGATGTCTTTTATTAAATTTATGTATCAAAGAATTTATTACCCAAAGAATTGTTAGTTACTCGTGATCTTATTTATAACTTCCGTTATTTCTATATTTCATTTTTATGAAATCAATAATTATTTAAATAAATCTACTAAAAGTTTCAAAGCAAGTCCCTTTATTAATTAAAAAACTTTAGCCAACGGTTATTTTAATTTTAAAAAATCCAACACTTTCTCCCATAAATTCTTCCAAAATGATGACAAAATGGGTTTATCATTTTTTCAAAGTATCTTAAACTAAACATGCACACAAAATAGAAACAGTTGTTATCCTAGTAATATATCATACTTAGGATCTACTAAATTATTTTTACTTATAAGATTAATATTAATATAATAGATACAATTACAAATAAAAAAAGAGTTAGAGACAACATCTATAAAATAAAAAGATGTATACATTATAATAATTAAATAATAACAAAAATTCAATTTTTATTTTTGTTTAAGTGTTTACTTGCAAATAAAACATAAAATAAAATCTTAATATTATATTATTTTAATTTTATATTTATTATATTTTTCAATACAACTTAAAAGCTTTATAAAATAATATATAAAAAGAAGTTATAGTTAAGTTGTATAACATGTACGGATTTAAATATTTTATTTGTTTCATAAATATATTATAACTAATAAATATAATATTTAATTATAATATAACATTTTAATGAATTTTTAAAATTTAAAATCACATATTCTCATTAAATTATTTGTACATTATACTAAATAAATATATATTATATTGAATAATCTTGTGTATTTATTTTTAATTAATTAATCATTATAGTATTTTTTATATTAATTGTTTGTTTTAAAAAATATTTTTAAAGTAAATTTATCATAAATTATTATAAAATTCTACATATTTTAGATATGAATTTTGTAATAAATTATTCTATTAATATGAAAAGTCATTAAATTAGTTTATATATTAAAATTAATGTATAAAACATTTAATTTTTTAAAACGTTTATTTGTAATTTTAACATGTAATGTATTATTTTATTAATTATATGTATATATATATATATATATATATATATATATTACAATTAATATGAATACAACATTAAATATTAATTATCAGTCAATTTTACTTATATATATTGATATTGATGATTACTATATCAATGTATATTTTAATTTCTTTATTTTAAAGTATTTTTATAATTTAAATTTATTATAAATATTGATAAAAATAATATTTATATATTTTAACATATACTTTAAATTTTAAATAGTAAATTTTTAACGAGTGCTTATTGGTTTAACAATAATATTTTAAAAATGATTTTTCTTAATTACAAAAATTCATTAATATGTTTATTTTAAAGTGAAATATAAATTATAACAATTAATAAACAATATATTAAATTAATGATTATTTAAAAAAATATATCATAGTTCATGAATATCAAATTTAATTAAGCTATTAATCTTGAATGTAGTATTATTTTATTAAATCAAATATATATTTTATTTATCAAATATAACATTAAGAATGGTGCAGTAATTTTACTTATATATATATATATATATATATATATATATAGAATTTTTATTTAATTATATTTTTAGTTCCCAACTTATAATATATAATTTTTTTTTTTACTTTTAATTTCTCACATTTAATTTTTTTATTTTTTTAATTATTTAAATCAAGTTCCTCACTTCAAATTCCATCCAATATTATTGATTTCTTAAATGAATAAAAAAATATTAAAATTTATTAATAAATAAATAAAATTTAGGAGCTAAAAGGTTTAATCTAAATAATTAAAATATAAATTATTAAAACTAAAGAGATTAAGATCACACACGTAGAAACTAAAATTATGCAATTAAGCTTAGATTATTAACTCTCACCCTATTTCTTTTGAGTCGACATTTGTGCTGTGAATCACTGAAAACGGAAATTAGCTCCAATGTTGTAGTTTCCAAAAAACATTTTGTAGGTTAATAATTAATTAAAATGTCTTTGGTAACATTTGTTTATACTTTGTTTAGTAGTTTATTTTTTTTTCAATAAATTGGTAGAAATATTTAGTAATTTTAACGTAGAAAATTTTTGTAAATTTTAAAAATAAGTTTTTGAAAAGTTTATTCACACAGTATTCAATTTATAATTTATAGTTATAAATAGTTTTATCTTTTAAACAAATTACACTATATGAAAATTCTAAATCAATCTTTTTTCATTTAATTTTAATATTTATCAGTATATCATTGTATGTTTTCTTTAAATTATTTAATAAATTTCAATTAATTTTGTTAAAAAATAATTAAATTAAATTAATTACTTATGAGTTATAAATTTATAATTAATTTTATCGATCAATAGGCTGGGAGAGTGAAAAGAAAAGTCATGATCTATAGGACCTTGATGGTAATGCAGCTTGCTATGTGCTGCTACTTATGAGTTAACCATAGACACATGTCAGGCTTGGAAAGGTTTCACGCTTGAAAGATAATGGAGGTCGCAATCATTTTGTTTCTTTCTAGTTCTTAGACACTCTCCATCACTATGCACCAATTTTTCCATGGTTGAGTGTGCAAAAGTAATATCTTGTAACTACTACTCAATCATTGGATGTTGTTGACCAAATGTGTCTCAGCGCGAAACAAAAATCACCGAGTGCCGAATGCTATTTATTTATCTTAAACATTCAAGTGGGATGAAGAGCTTGCATGTCCTAGTTTGAAATATGTGTTAAATATCTTCAATACCTTTCATTGCAACGAAGAGCCTGAAAGGAATGTTTTATTACTTTTATTTCCTTTTGAGATTCTCAACTGAGTATTTTAAAGCATCAATTTCACTGCTGACATTATTTCTGTTGTTTAAGTAGGAGGATAGTTTCTTCTTGTTTTTTGAAAGCTAACTTGAATTGAACAACCAGAGAAGGTGTTATTATGTTGTCAGTCCTCAAAAATGAGTCTTCTTTTTTTTTTTTTTAAAAAAAAGTATTGCTGACTAGTGTAAGTGTAAGTTGTGATTAAATGAGAGTATAAAAGATTTTTTATATTGTGGGTACAATCTGATTAAATTTAATTCTAAAAGTATTTTGAAAGATAAAAATTGCATATATTTAAAATTAAAAAAATATAAAATACAATTAAATATATTTTTAATTATATATTTGTTCTTTGAAAATATAACATCTTTTATTTTTAGTCTTTTTACATTTTTATTCTTTTTAAGCGTAAAAAATTATTAAAGTGTGTATTTTTAATCCTTAGTTAGGGATTAAAATTAAATCTCTTTTTGTTAAATACAAATCTTTAAATTAGATAAAATTTCTATAAAGACTTTTTTTTGGGGATGGAAATAACATTTCTGATGCATATATGTATGTATACACTGTCATGCCGATGAAAATGAAACATGAAAGATTCCAAGTGTCTAGGCAGCATTTGGTTAGACAACGCATTACAGCCCTAAGTACCCATCATTCATAGCACCAAATTGTTGGCTCTGGATCGCTTTATCGAGGACAGCCTTATGCTTGGTGTTTCTTGGAATTATCATTGTTGGCAATGGCATGGCATAATTATCATTAGAGGCTAAAACGCTCCAAAGGACCCAATGCCAATGCTAAAGTCGTATGTTCTCCTCGTCAACTTTTACACCTTGGCATGTGTCTTTAAGGGTCCATCCTCCTTAATTACCACTTCTATTTTATCTAACCAACTAAATTGGCTCCTTAAATTAGACAATTAATTAATTTTATTTACTTTTTGTACATTCTCTACCTGTGCGTGTGCAACTATGCATAGCCAAAACGGGCAATCATAATAAATTAATACTAACATTCGATGAAATTAAACATAGATGTTAATAATACTGGGTGTAATTAAAGATGGGTGTTTGACCTTTGGGTAAGGAGATGAGTCAGGTAAGGTAACAACACATGGATCTGTGTGCGGTGTTTGATACTAAAAGGAATTAATCCTCCGCAAAGAGAGGGGACAAAGAAAGAAACGACACAACTACCGAGTTGACTCCTTAATAATATCCAATCATGGTGACACGCCTTTTGTTTGAGGCTCTCTGGCTGTTGTTGCCTCAAGAAGAAGTTGCACTCACAAGTTGCTTTTTCCAATAACATCTGTCACCCTTTCGGATATTCTATCTTTCTTTCTATCAATATTCTTATTTTTAGTAAATTACCAGTTTAAGGTTTTAAAAAAAAATTTCTTTCCCGTCTTCGTCGTGTGAATGGTTTTGCATTTCTTGGGGCTGATGGAGGAGGTTTGATGGGATCAATATTCTCCCAGAGGCCACATATTCCGGTTCTGGGTTTTGATCCTTCGAAGGGAAATTCTTGAGGTTGTTGGGGTTGTGTGTTGTGTAAATGTTATAGTTGTTGTCCATTGGGGTGATTTGGAAGCTAGTTATCCCTCCAAGTTTCGTTCTTTGAAAGGAATATTTGGAAGTTGATGTCAGCTTCACGGCAAATTGAAATAGGATAGAAATTCTTACAAAGGTATAGAGTTTTTTTTTTTTTAATAAATATTATTGTATACTAGTTTTGTTTTTTTGTTGGGCTTCTCGATGTTCACGACGGGTTGAACTAATCTTTAAAAAAGAATTGATCTTTAATATTTAAATGAGCAGTTTGAGGGCTAGCAATTCATTGGTTGCACAGACTCGGAAGATTTGTGGACAAAACTACCGGAACCTCTCTCAAGAATCATGTGGGAATAGTGGTCTTTGACTGTTACAACCAATTCTTTTGGATATCTGAGAAACTTTGATTGGGTTGTTGTTGGGTTGGTAAAAGGAATGAGCCTTTGAAAGAGAAGAAGATCTGTCCAACTCCAACATCGGATTGATTAAGGTTTTGATGATTTCATAGGTATTTGCCCAGAAGAGAAATAGGAACCTTTTCTTGAGGCTGTGAAAGGACCCTGCTTCCAATTTCCTAAATAGTTAATTGTCGTGTTGATTTCTGAGGGACATGAAGTTTTTGAGCCTGGTGGGAAACTCTTTTGGCTGTTCTGCATCTGGTGAACGCTTGGTTTCTGCAGCAAGAGATGGGGATATTCAAGAGGCCAAGGCCTTGTTGGAGTATAACCCCCGTCTTGCAAGGTATTCTACTTTTGGAGTTCGCAATTCCCCTTTGCATTACTCTGCAGCTCATGGCCACCATGAGGTACTTTATTCAATGCACTCCATCATCTTTCTTGTATCATGCTTTACAATTCTTTTCAAATACCGACTGTGTTTTGCATTTATGTAGATAGTGTATCTCCTGCTTGAGTCCGGAGTTGATATCAATCTCAGGAATTATCGTGGTCAGGTAATCTATATTATTAGTCTTTTCTTCCATTCACTGCATTTATTTGTCATATCACATGAAAAATAACATCTCAATCTAGCACTGTTCTGTGTGTTCACTGTTTAAACCTGTTTTATGTTGAAGGCTGCATGCAATCTTTGTTGTTTTGGATATGAATTAGACTGATGTCAATGTTTATACCATTGACAGACTGCACTGATGCAAGCTTGTCAACATGGTCACTGGGAGGTGGTTCAGACTCTGATTATTTTTAATGCCAATGTATGATTGTTACTACCAACCAAATTTGTATATTATAACAACAATCAGATGAATTCTTGGGTGGAATTAGTAAAACATTGTTTATTAAATTGAATTGCAGATCCATAAAGCAGATTACCTAAATGGAGGTACTGCCCTCCACTTGGCTGCTTTGAATGGCCATACCAGGTGCATTCGGCTCATCCTTGCAGACTATATACCCAGCATCCCTAACTTTTGGAATGTATTACAGACGGGTGATCATAAATCACTTTCAGAATTTGATCAAAGGTGCTCACACTTAAAGCCCTATATGCAATCGTCTGTTATAAATTGTTGCAATGAGTTAATTTTGATTTTGAATTGTTGTGTACAAAGTGGTCTTTGCGAGGTAATTAGCAGAACTGCTGATGGAGGCATCACTGCTCTGCATATGGCAGCATTAAATGGGCATGTTGAAAGTGTTCAGTTACTCTTAGACTTGGGAGCTTCTGTATCTGAGGTTACTGTGGAGGATGGAACTACCATTGACTTAATTGGTAATTGTTTAGCAAGTTCTAATTCATGTGATAAAGTGATGTCAAATATTTGCTTTGGAAAATCAGCATTTATATATAAGTAGATTAACGTTTCTACTATATGTAAATTGTTTTCATACTTCTGGCTCCTTCTTTATTCAATTTTTTTTTTTGCATGTGTTATTAACTTACTATCAAACATACACACCCTGATTATTTCCCATTAATATTGTTCAACATTTGTCATTTCTGGTTTCTGGAAGAATTTTAGGATGTGCTTGGTTGAACTGAAAATGCAGGAGAAGTCTTTATGGTGAAAATTAATTTACAATTGCTTGGTACAACAAAAAGTTGGAGTGGTTGAAACTCGATTGCAACTCTTTTAGATTCTAATTGCATAATATTTGATCTCTCCTCCTATAGCTTGAAAGTGAGGTGAAAATGCTTTTTTATCCGCTTTCTCTACTCAGCAAGTAGGACCCTAGAGTAAATATCAAAACCTTTCCATCACCTCAAGTTTGGGTTTCTCTTCTTCCATCTCTTTTAAACTTCATCATTATGGCTGTGAGTAGGTATCAAGTATACATCTATCAAATTCCTTTCTTCTACTATATAAGAAAAATTCCAAGTGCTATTCGCTCATCAAGTCTTGATGTTTAGAGTTGAACCCCCCCTTTCTGCAGAAAAAATTAAAACTCTACAGCACCACAGAAAAGATATTAAGAAATTTGAACATATTGCATCTAAGTATGGGCTGAGTTAAATTAGTTTCACCTCTTGTAACTGCCGTCTATCCTTATGTACAGGTTCTGGAAGCACTCCACTCCATTATGCTGCATGTGGTGGAAATGCACAATGCTGTCAAGTGTGTTTCTATTTTCCTTTAGAAGAAAAATGTACTTTTGGAACTGAAAATATATTATTCTTCTAAATGAGCATGCAAAGTTACAGTTGGGTATATTTCTTGTCAGCATATTGAAGTTCCTTTCCTTTTTCATTTTGTGTATTATGTGTTTGGTTCAGCTTTTGATTGCCAAGGGTGCCAGTCTGGCTGCTGAGAATGCAAATGGGTATGTTTCAACGTGTCTCTGATAGTTTTGATGTATGATGAATTTATCTATTTACTGTGGGGCATGGTAAAGATGGAGTAAATATTTTGGTCTGTATAGTTTATATGAAATTTTGTTGCTCTTCTAGATGAGACATACAACTTCCTGCTCCCGTCTTCTAATTATGAAAATTGTTAACTTTTGGCAAGTTAAATCTAACCGGCTTGGCTTTTGATCAGAAACTTAAGTTTAATTTATTCCTTATGTTCTTGGATCAGAGTATCCATGTTACTGGGTTTCTTCGATGTTGCTTTTTTCTTTTTTGGTGAAGTTTTGCTCTAAATTTAGCCTAATATCCTTTTCTCTGCATTTTGTAATAGTTTTTTGAACATTGCTTTGCTCGTCACCTTGAAGTTTAAATGTCTTTTTCATCGGGATTTTAGGAATTGTTCTTTGCAAAGTGCTTTTTTTTTTATTCCAATTTGCATGGAGGATGATAGTGTTTTCTGACCGCATTCTTTTTATGAATTTTTTGGTCTCTAGTGCACTGCCTGTAATGCTTTGTTGCATTTGAAAAAAGCAACCCGCTCGATTTATGTTGTCTTTGATGGATTTTAGAACTTTTTGGTTTACCTGTATGATTTTTTTTTTTTTGAAGATGGACCCCCTTGATGGTTGCTCGTTCATGGCATAGAAACTGGCTTGAGGACATCTTAAAAACACCTCCAGAAGACCCTTTGCAAGTTCTCCCTTCTCCATATTTATCTCTTCCACTTATGAGCATTGTGAGAATTGCTAGGTATGTGTTGTCGGGGCTACACTTTTCCTGATTCAACCAATTTCTCCAATCAGAATGATATTGAGGGTTACCTCCTTAGCTCCTTGAGAAAACTAACTGAAAATTTATGTTTTTTCCCTCGAAATTAGCATAAATTAATTTTGATCAACGTAAATCGTTCCATGAATTTGTGGAGTCTGCTCTGATTTAAAGTCAACTAGCAGGTGGTTTTAACGGACCATCCTTTGAATATGGTGGCCAGTCTCATCTTCCCACGGTTATTATGGAAAGAATTTTTGCTTAATTGATTGTTTTGATTTTTTATGTGATTATGTTGCTAATCATATACGTTAAGTCTATTTTAGGTTCATTAATTTCATTTTTATATCCAGTGTGACATCACTCGGAAACGTGCTTTGATCTTCATAAAGTTTATACCTAGGGATATATTTCGTCAAATTAAGTGCTCTACCCAACAAGCTGCCCTAACGTTTTTCGTACCATGAATTAGCTTACTCTTTGCAATTACCAAGTCGTTCATTCAATGAAAGCATACACACTACCATATCTGTGTGCACATTTTCCCACAGCGAATACTACACAATACAAAGTAGAATTAGCATTTGATTTGATTAAGCCAGTTTGACTGACTCTACCTCAACTTGTGGTATTCAAATGGTTACTAAATAGTAACATTTCTCCTCCCTGCTTTTTTTTTCTGTTGTGATCATCCTTAACAGGGAATGTGGATGGAGGACGACTGAAATAGCACCAACATGCTTAGATCCATGTGCTGTTTGTTTGGAAAGGAAATGTATGGTTGCTGTAGAAGGTATACACCTCTTAAATTGACAAATATATGTTCTTCATTAATTATAAATGCTGGATACATGGCATGTAATTAGATTCTTTAATGTAGAAAATGATTAAACCTCTTTTTGCAAAAGGTGTATGTTGATGTTTATTAAGAAAACATATAATTACCTCACACTAGAAAGCAATATTGTCAAAATATACAATTGACAATATCTAGTACTTTCATTTTGAGAGACACGTTTACAAATATAAAGCTAGCTGATCAGGCTTGGATATGGTTTTTAAATTTAATATGTAGTGGTAGCTCCTAAGAAATGATAGATAATAATCCGAGTCCACCACAATAGGATGGGTTGCCAATTCATTACGAAAGTTTGCAATGGAATATTACAGTGTGCTACCATAGAATTAGAAGCGGACCAATGCTTGGCCCTTTTCCCTATGGATGGTTGTGAGGATACGTGTATGTTGCATCAGTAATTGCGCTGCATTGTTGCCATTAATTTCATTTGAGAAGTCATGATTGAAAGTCATGTTCAAGACCCTCCACCTCCCTATTGACCATAGACTCCTGGTAAAGGAGAGGGGGAGGGCATAACTGTGCTCCTGTTGTTGGTCACAAGTCAAATTTTGAAAACGGTAAGGGACTATTTTGCTCTTGTTCCTAACAAGAGTTATGGCATGATTATGTTACGGGTTGTGTATCTTCCATCTACGAGTCTGGTGTTAAATCTGGGTTCCGTTTTCTTTCTATTCATTTTCATACATTTTTGGTAGGCCTTTACTCCTATTCCTGTTAGTTTATAGTTTTATATTAATATAATAATAATAACCTCGAATTATAGTATTCATGTCATTACATGCAGAACTCGTCACATCTAATGATGATGCATGCAGGTTGTGATCACGAGTTCTGCACACAATGTGCCTTGTATCTTTGTTCTGCCAACCCAACCTCAACAACCACACACGGCCCCCCAGGATCAATTGCATGCCCTCTATGCAGGCATGGCATAGTCTCATTTGTGAAGCTTCCAGACGCAAGACCAATACACAAGGAAATACCAAGGACAACAAACTTGTCCTTAACATTTTGCACCTGCTCAAGTGAAGTGTTGGAGGATTCCACCGACATGACCACCCCATTTTGCAAACCAACTTCCCGTGGATCCAAATCTTCTCCATCAAAATCATTTCGCTCCATGAGCTGCCAAAGGTTATCCTCATTCAGAATGAACCCCAACCTTTGCTTGGGAGCAGATGTTAGTCCGTCCTTAGTTCCTTGCACTGTGAGCAGGAACTTGAGGAACCATGGGACAAGATGTTCTGGTTCTGGTTTTAGGCGATCATCTTCTCAAACCGAGAGAAGGAAGTCATGGTTTTGTTCCTTCAATCAATCTGTTTCCACAGGCAGTGGATGCTGACAACATTTTGCTCTTTTCATGCTTTTCATTTACCACACCATAAAATATATAAGCATAATTATACTCGTCAATCCGAATATCATCCACTGTTGACATCTTTGCTTGTAAATACCAAGCCTAATTGTTCAGCTGGGACAAGCATTTCTTTTTTGGCAACAAATTTCACAACAAAATTTGTACAACTCGTGGCTGCTTATTCTCAGATAGCAACCAGGAAACTAGTTCAAGGTTTATAATAAAAGACTAAGGAAAATCCCATGGCTTGTTATAAGTGTTTACGTAGTGCATATATTGTCTCAAATTTGAATCCAGGGGGCTCTATGCACTTGGAGAAATTCACTGGGTGATGTTGAGCACACGTCACGGTTTCATTAAAGTTGGCTTAAGGGGTCAGAAGTTCAGAACCAAAACAGCATTGATACCTTTAATTCGGCTTTCAGGAAAACAATAAATCTGCGCCTGCAGGATTTAGGACTTATGGGCAATTGGGCCCACCATCCCCCGTGCAGTTCCTTATTATCACCAGTGGATAGCCTCTCTTCATTAACAACTAAAACAAAAACACAAAATGTTTGAAGTTTGCGTAGTCAAGTTCTGGCATTCATGAACTCGTTTAAACGTTTCTACTCTCTTCAGTTCATTGTAATATTGTGCCAAAACTAAGGCTGGACTTGTTTATCCCCGGAAACCAAATATAGAAGTATCTTATTATTCTTCAGTGCTAAACTACGATTTGTAGCCACTGGTTAACTTCTAACATTATGAACGCGAGTAGAACTAAAAAAATTACATAACGAGCGATCATATATGTCAATTCTTCGGGCAGTGCAGCTTATGCTCTTAACATAAATTTAACATAATAAAGAAGGCTTGTAAGAAAGAATTGTCCGTGAACTTCATTAACCATCATATTACATCATTTAATAAACAAAGCTTACACGGAAACATTACTAAACTGAAGTTCAAGCTCAGGAGGAATAGATAAGGTATGTTAAAATGGAAGTGATTGACATGATGAGAAGAAAATTTAATATAAAAAAGAAAATAAAAAATAGTTATACTAAGTGAACAATAATAAAAAAGTCTTGCAAGGTCAAGAAAAAAAAAAAGTAAAAAAAAAAAAGAGAAAAAAAAAAGCTCAGCAAGGATATCGCCGTCAAAACCCTACCTCGTGCTTCATTATCCATTTGGTGTAGAGAAAGTCAAGGAATGTGGTTGCACTCCACTGAGAGGATAGTAGTAGATGGCTGATGCCATTTGCGAGAGCAGTTATGAGGAAGAGCATATTGAGAAAGAAGTGACAAGTATATCGGAACTGTAACGTAAGGACAAGGTGTTTTTTACAGGCGTGGGTGTGACATGATATAAAAGGGCAAGCGGGGGTGAACACACAGAAGATGGATGGAGTTTATATAGTGAAAAGAGAAGGGTAAATAAGGGACTAGTGACATTCCAAAAATGTTGTTGTTTCAGTGAAGTTAGAAGAAAAAGGAAGAGGTTAAGGGAGCGAAAAAGTGTGAATTAATGGGTGTAAAAAAGGGATTTATTGCAGTGTGTTTCTGTTGGTTCCAGCGAGAAGTCTTGATTAAAATGGCGACTGATTTGAGAGAAGAAAGGATAAAGTACAGTGCAGTGACAAGCAACGTGACTTAACCATATTTCTCTTCTGTCTTCTAATCTTTTACCTCCTGAGTCACGTAAATTCAAAAGCATATATATGGAGCATGGGAATTCGGACTCTAATTTCCAAGATGGGGAAACGAGTTAAAACAGTATGGGCCCTGCAATCAATCAATTCCTCTCATAACTTCATAATATCAAACAAACATATATACTGCCCACTCCCAACTCTCAGGAATCTGTAAAGAACAAATTATTTTAACAGAAAATAAGACATCCTCTTCATCCAACTAACTAATTCTAACCTTTACTTTCTTTTTTTTTATTTTTATTTCTTCTTCTATTTTTCCTATACAGATATAATAAAGTTCTTTTTCATTCAAAGTATCACATGGCATTTTTTCACACTAAAAATATAATATAGATTTTTTTACTTAGATATAAAATTTCATCGTAAGTCCTAATAAAAATAATATTAAAATAAAATTTATTTTATTTTATATATTTTGATAATAAAAAGGTATATGTTAAAAATTTCAGATACTTCCACTTAATAAGAAAATGATTTCTTTTGATAACATTAATGAATAGAAGGAAATTCATTATAAATAAATATTTTAATTAAAAATAAAAAGTTATCTTTTAACTTTTTTTTACAAGAGGTTGAAATTGTAAAAAAAAATATATTATATTTAATAATATTTCAACTGTATATTGATGTGAACTTAGAGTACACGTTATAAATTAATTCATTTTGTGAGTAAATAAAAAATATTTTATTGAGCAATTATTAAATATATTTACTGATTGTCGTGATATAAGAAAACAAAAAAAATTATAAATTTGATTTAATACTATAACTTTCTTTAATCCGTGAAAGATTTATACTGTATATTAATTTAGTCTTCTAAATATTTAAGATATTAATTTCTTCAAATATTCAAAAGTATAAAATAATTTATTTTAATTTTAAATTGATAAAAATAATTATTTTAATGCCATTTAAAGATTTTGTTTTGTATTATTTAAATTCATTAAATAGATATCTTAATTTTTAACAAAAAATTACAATATTTTTTTTATTCAATTATAATACGTGTACACGTAATGTTATCATTAATATGCACTAAATGATTAATAATATGAAAATAAAAGCTTTGATATATTTTATAAATCCATACATTTTATGTATATGTGAGTTATAATTTTGAATTGATCAATTATTGAAAGTTATTTATAAATGAGTAAGGAATATATCGACTGGCTTATATCACAGATGAGTTGGCTTTTACTCAATTGATGGAGATTCTGACAATCCTACTATAACTTTATTTACATAACATGACCTCATTCTCTTATAGGATTTGCAAGCATCGGCTAAGAGTTTTGAGGCAGATGCGAGGTGTACTGGTTCAACTGACAAACAATGGGAGATGTTCCTGGTTGAGGTTGAGTGATTCATTATAAATTTGATTTCAAACGGGGTGTGTGTGTGTATATACATATTTGTTCAGAATTTTCAAGAAAAAATCGAAGGGTCGAATAGAATTTATAAAAAATGCATGCAACGCTTGAACGCTATGCGGTGGGTAATTGGGTTGAGGAGAAAACATGATACAACTTTGCACGTAAAGCTGGTTACTTTAAAACCTGCGCTGGGCTTTCTCTTCTTTTCTGGTTGATTTTGAATTTCTATTTTCAGCTTTACATTTGGTTCTTTCCCATCCAACGCCACCACGTTTCATGCCTGTTAGGGTATATAGCCGCGTAAGAGGTAGGGTTTTCCAAGTACCAAATTAAGGATGTACGATTTTTTCATACGCGAATTTCTCATCAGTGTTTTGCTTTTCAAATAATTGTATGGATTTCGCTGCTTAAAGGTGTTTTATTCTGCTTTAACATGATTGTTTTTCATAAAGAATATTTAATCACAAATATTACTATTAATTATAACTTTTATATTAACATAAATTCAAACACATACTAAATATATATACAGTTTATATGATTAAACATTTGCAAATAATACAATATTCAAATTCTATAAACTTTAATTTCATATTAAAAAATATAATTTACTCTAAAATGTTAGCTTGCAAGGAAGAGAGTTATTTAAGTCTTACAAAAATATTCTAATTATATTTTTAGTTTACGCATATGACTAAAATTATAAGATAATCAATGATTATATAATTAATCAAAAACTTGTCATGCGTGCACATAAGATGTGTATTTAGTGGAAAAAAAATGTTAATTTTGACCATATAATTATATATAGACTATCAATTTTTTTAAAAATATAATACCAATAAATTTTTTATTTTGTGTGGCAATAAAAAGTATTTATTATATTAAAATAAAAAAGTTTAATAAAAATATTAATTTTAATTGTTTTGAATCAGATATTTTATAAAGTTAAATATATTTATCTACACATGTTTAAAATTTGAATTAATTGTTAGCAACTGCATGATGAAAATATGAAAATTTAATTATTGCATATCTACGTGTAAATTGGCGTTTATCTGCGGACGAGGAAGGAGGAATGATTCGATTAATAACAGCATGTAGTATTTAAGGGAAATCCCTACCCTTGCTCCATTGAAGAAAAGAAAGTGACCGATCCCAATCCCACACCGCATAACCTACCCATCAGATAAATGTCATCTTCATTGTTACCGCATAGCATATGAAGAGAGGGGAGGGTGTGAATGAGTGGGGTATGTAGGGAGGGATTTTAGTCTTACATTACATTAATGTTAACCCTTTTTCTTAAATGTTATCAAATGATAATAATTCACAACCTAGCTAGTGATGGGACAACACATGGTCAATCCATCAGTCTCTTGAAGTCTCTCTCAGAGTCCTTTCCCTTTCTCTTTGAACTTTCTTCTTCAATGGTTGCAGCCGCCTACGTAAGACAAAGATATGAACATGCAACTAAGATCGATGCATGAGGCATTCCTCATGTGTCCGTGCTGCACGCATGCATGTGTGTGAACCACTGAACCTTGACCTTTTTTATATTACCATCTTACCAATACCAATAAACAAATAAATGCTTTTATTTGTGTCATTTATTTTTCTCCAAAATCTTGCTATTCACCGCTATGGTTGCGTAAGGGTAAGCAAATGGCATCTTATCAGTTTTTGTGTTTATGCTGCGGGTAGGGAACTGAAACCAATTTAAAGTATCTCTTCGAAAACGGGTGGATGTTCAACCGTTTTATTTATTGTCTGTTCGTCGATAACCCGAGGAATCAATTCACAATTGACAAATTCATTGATGATAGAAAACATTACGATGGATATTGATTGCTTTTCTTGCCTTATTGGTGGTATAATAATGCGTGCATTGAACTGATTGTAGTAAACGATGATGCTTTTGGCTAATGGCTATGTTCGCCACTCTTTGCCATATTCGCAAGGGACGTTTGACTAGTTGATTGATATTGGAATTCAAGTTTTTTTTTTTTGTCGTATTGCATGAAAATACTTCAATTGCAAAGTGTATATATGAATATTTATAAAATTAAAACCCACCACTGTCAACTTTTACCATCACTTGCAAGGTGTACAAGTCTCTCATGATCATTTTACGTTGCCGATATTTACTTCGTAAAAAATTATATATATATATATATATATATATATATATATATATATATATATTGCAGAGTGTGTAAACCATAGACAATGATACGCATGAAGTGTCCTCATGTGTGTGCATAAATATGACAGTGTATCTACACCACTAATTTGATCTAGACACGGGACCAAAAAACAATAATTCGTGTGCATTATGTTATTTAATTAATGATTGGTCATGAATAATAATATTTCAACAATTGATTGACTTAATACCTAACATATTTATGGGAAGAGTCTGTCTTGAAAAAAATAAAAAAACATGAACTTTTACGAAAGAAGTAAATTTGGAAGCCTGCTTTCTCAAATTTTAATCAACACAAAAACAAAATAAAAAAATCAGTTATCTTTTAGTAAATAATTAAATTAGCCCTAACTGGATGTCATATTAGTCTTTAAAATATAAAAATTGTAATAGCAAATTGAAATAAAATATATTCAGTGTATTTTAGCTGATCTTAAGGTGGTAGCTAGGTTGTTGAAGCTACCAGAATATATGCTTCGGCTTTGCGATTCGATTCCCACGTCATTTCCCCTCCCCTAAGAACAAGATAGAGAATGTTTTTACCAAATAAACCCATAAAAAACGATTTTTAAAGCAGTACATGATTTTTGTTTTTTGGATTCCAGAGCAATACTTGAATCATGATCGCTGCCTCACTCACCACGTTCTATTTTTATCTATAGAGAAACTGTATTGTATTGATACAATTTTTTTATACAAAAACTTGTACGATAAAGGGCAAAAAGAAGAAGACAGAGTATAAGATAAAACTGATGTGACAGAGAGAAACAAATAATAATAATGATATATAAAAATAGTATAAATTTATTGTACGAGTAAGTCATCTCATGTGTTCATATATTTTTTTATGCTAACAAAATTATCATCAATACACTCAATATAATTTTCAATGTATTTGTATCATGCTTTTAAATAAAATATTTTATTTATTAAATTGAAATGTTTATTTTTTTGTCCGAAGTGTTATTATTCACGCTGAGTCTTCTAACGGATTTTTTTGTCAAAATGCTGACTTTCATATTATACCAAGAAAGAGCCCTTACAAAAAGGAATTAATAATTGGGCTTGTCATAAATTATCCGAAAAAAAGGTAGAAGCAATAATATATTTTGAGAGGGCCTGGGCCGCAAAAACCGGAACAACCAAAGCAGAGGAAAGCAGAGAGAGAGAGAGAGAGAGAGAGAGAGAGAGAGAGAGGAAACTAAGGATAATACAAAAATGACACTTATTTCTTCGCTTTGTTCTTCTCCTCCGATCACTTCCTCGTCGTCGTTTCCATTCTCCACCAATTCCTATGCTTTCTCCAACCTCAGATCCCAAATCCATTCTTCTCCTTCCACCAACATTTTCACCCAAAAAATCGACACCACTCTCCTCACCATCGCCGAGTCCTTCTACGACGATGAACTCTGGGCCGCTGCCTCTCTCCGCGTTCGTTCCTTCCACCAATTCCGACCCGACACCTTCGGAGTTCAAGTCAGTTTCCATTTTTTCTCTCGTCCCATTTTTTTTTTCTAAAAAATATTTTTTTTAAAATCTGAAATCTAGCTTCAAGCTTCGTTTTTTGGTTGCCAATTCGCACATGGGTATGCTTGAATTGTTATAAAAGAGTGAGCTTTTTACAAAGTAACGTAAGAAGGTGCATTCCCTATTTCGTGTTTGTCAAGTTCTATTAGGATCATACGAGGTACTTAGCGGAGCGTGAGTTCGAAGCACTTCAGGAGCGTGTTTCGGGGAAAAGAATGGGCTTTAGAAGAGTCTCTTGCATAAATGCTTCACTTCCTTTGTCCCATATAGCCACCCTATCTCATGATTTATGCTCTTCATGTAAGGTTTGTTTATTCCTCCATTTATTCATTGCAAGTTGGAATGCATCATGCAGCATCCTTTTTATTCATTTGCTAACCTTTCTTATGTCAATTCATCAGTAAATGATTTAATGTTAATGCTTTTCATGTCCCTACAATGGACTATGAGTATGTTTGGCGATAAAGATGTCTCTTGTCTAATCATCATTGTCTCTTTCTACCCAGAAATAATCACATTTGCAGTTTTTTTTTTTATTTATGTATTTGTTTTTAGATGGATAGATTTGTCATACAGACCCTTCTAGTTGTTCTAAAATTGCAGATCGATTCAATCAAATAAATTGTCACTTATGATGACTTTATTCTATTTTTGTTTGCGTACATTTGTTTATTGGTGTTCTGTTTCTCAGGAAAGTTAATTGTAATTTAATTAAAATTGTAGTTTTCTGCCAATGGTGAAGACCGGATTGTAGTTGGCACTCTTGATCTTAATCAGTGCTTGAGCCTTCCTGATGAAATTGTTGGAATGAAACCAGAGGTATTTTTGGTCTCTACTAGATTTCCAAATCTGTATGCCTGTGTTTATGTGTTAGATTGGTTCAGGTAACTAGGCTTTGATTTTTGACATGAAAATTGATAACTCTTCTCTCTGGTACTAATTTGTACAACGCTGCCTCTGTATAATTGTTTAAATGTTTCAATGTTAGGTCGTTGGAACTGATATCACAAGGGCATACCTAAGTAATGTATGTGTTGCTAAAGAGTTGCACAGAAATGGGTTGGGTTATGCTCTTCTTGAAAAGTCAAAGTTAGTTGCTCATGATTGGGGTAAGAAACAAGATAGCACATAACCGCTACATGGAATTGCTGTTATCATTTTCTCTGCTTTGAAAAATGGAGAAATTGCATTTGTACAGCAAAAGAAGAGATAGGAAGAGAAAAGAGAAAAATGTGGGATAAGATAATTGATCTGATGAAGAAAGAGGGAAAAATAGTATCTAAAAAAATGTATGAATAATTTAATGTTTAAACTTTAAATACGATTATGTGCATTGCATGTCTTGATGTTTATCTTTTCTTTGATGGGTTAAGATCATAAATGATCTAAGCAGGCACGGTAATTCATTCAACTACTTGTAATGTCTATTAATCTGATTCCATATGATGTTGATCCTGCATATGAGGATGGGATCCAAATTGGTCAAGAATGATAAGATTCTTCCTATTAAAATGTTTCCAAAATTTGTTTCTTTGGGTAGAAAACTCTTGTCCAGAAGTGGCTGCAATCTAAGTTTTGGTTATGCTTGGCTCAGTGCAGGGGGATTGATGTAAAAATTCTTATCTGGGGGTTCATTAAACTCAACTTGAAACCCAAACACGACTTTCTTCACTTCCCCTTCATTGATCTATCTTTGTTGATGACATGTTTTTATTTTTTGTTATTTATATATAATAACATAATGAAAACCAATTATGATTTCTGTTGTTTTTTAATTTGTGTTGCGTGAAATATTCATATCCTTGATGGGGTCCGTGTAGATTCCCTGTAAAGCACTCTACCGTTTTTCATGTTCTATTAGTCTTCGTTATTTCATTCTTATATTTCTCGTTCGAGTCTATGAACTAGGGGACACTGATATTTCTAGATGACAATTCAGATTGGACTTCCCCTAGACCAAAAGTGACTAGTTCTTTTTTCTTTTCAGGCATAACAGATTTGTACGTCCATGTTGCTGTTGACAATGAACCAGCAAAGAAATTGTATACAAAGAGTGGGTTTGTCTATGAAACTGATGAACCTGCGTGGCAAGCCAGGTTTCTAGATCGACCCCGAAGACTTCTCCTATGGACAGGGCTTCCAAGCACCTAATGTGACAGTGCTGTCTTGTGTTGATATGGTTTTCTGCCTATCCTTGTTTGAATTATTTTCAGAATATTCCTACATTGCCTCATATTAGTTCTTTTTCCTTTTATTCCTAAGCCCAAGTGTAAAGTGTTTTGCCATTTTAGCAAATTCCCTGACCAGGTTCCACTTTTGATGACATGGAATGGCTTCCCTTTATTATTTTGTCAAACGATTAAACAAGCAAAAATGATCATGTCTTTTCCGTTATGCGGAATACAAAGATGCTGTAAAACATATAACGGAACTCGCACTCGTCGATAATCATATTCCTACGTTATTCAAAGTTGAACCAACATTTGGCGGGGCATATGACAAGGACATACTAACAATAACAATAGTATCTTCTAAGTTCCCACCCTAACGCGTATTAATAATAACTTTGGAATAAGCTAGGCATTTTAACATACATTTCGTCGTCCTTTATCCTTTTAAAATTCAAGATCACCATGATTATTAGTAACGAAATTTTTACGATAAATTGACACGAGTGTATGATTAGTGTTCTAATATTACATACTTCTAATAGTCTTGCCATTGTGTATACGGCTAGACTATAAATTATACGATTCTAAATAAAAAAGATATCGGTTGAATGTCATAAGCTTTATTTTAGATGAATTTTATTTTACAAAATTTAATTAAAAGTGAGTTTGAATAAAGTAAAATATGTTTTAAAACTTGATTTGAAGGCAAGTTTATAATGAAACTTAATATAAAATTCTCAGCTCAATGTAAAAATTAAAATGTTTACTTCCACTTAGAACTCGATTTCAGTAACAAAAGCGAGCTTAGTTTGAGGCAACTGAACATTATGCGCCTGTTGTAGATTTTCATCAAATTATTTTCAATTGTTGAACATGATTGTTGTGTTCAAATTGATTTTAACAAATTTTACAGTGAAATATTGCTATGGAGGAAAATATTGATTTTGGTTGTTATCCAAATAGGTCATCTTTCTAAGAGAAAATCCACATATCTCTAAAAATATATTGGAAGGGCATTTACAAACTATCTACTGCAAAATTTCCTGGTAAGCAAAAAACGAAATACATAAACAGACAACACATTCATTTCAGAGACATCAAATTGAAGCAGCAATGCGGAGAAATGATACACTGAACTGTCACGGTGCCAAATTTTGTTGCAGATCAGATGAATATTGCTATCTAATTCTAACGTATACAACAATTGAAGCTTGAAGATCACGATCTACCTTGAAGTGAGAATTAAAAAATCTTTTTTCCTGTTGTTGAAATCCTAATGTTAGAAAAATGAAGAGAAATTTCCAATATTAAGAAGAACAACCTCAGAAAATTGAAACAGTAATAATTACCTCTCTATAATCAAATGAAATTAAAAAGTTCCTCAATTTTTTTTCCTCTGAATCAAATAAAACAATGTGGCTGGGCAGAGACCAATTTTTCGCATATTCAGACACAAAAGGAACAGGGTCCATCAAGAAACGATCAGACTCATCTGGAACTCCTTTCTCTTCACTGCTGAACATGATGCATTTACGTGAATTATAAACTGATTTTAGTTCCGTTTAAGATTAGAAGCTTTTGCAGAATTACAAATTCCAAACCTTGGCGTGCAGTCCAGAAATTGCATTGGCAGGCTATGATGCAGCATGGAATAGTAGGGAGTGGCATGGCAAGGAGTTAGGAATAAGATGCTTTTCACCTTCCCATGAAGAGCTTCTCTAGCAAGGTGGTTCATGATATCTTCAGGTCCTCTCTGTTGAGAAATTAAAAAATATATTAAATATTTCCTTTTAGGTTTTACATAAGATTTTTTTCACTGACATAAGAAATAAGCACGTCAAATTGAAATATAAAACAGTAACCAGAAAAATTAACGATCTTGTCCAGCAAAAACATATATCCTAAATTGCAAGAGAATATTAACAGAAAGGCTCATCAACATCGAGTAAGGGAGGGAGATAGAGCAAGACCTGATGAACCAAACTCATATACAAAGCCATTGGAATGTTGGTAACAAGCAAAAATAAGATAGCGACTATCATCTTGGGAGGACATCTAGTATCCTTTTTTGAAGATGTTTTTCCTTTATACTCTGCAGAACCAGGATCTTCTATCATAGCCAAAGAATAACCAGAGAACATCAGAGCTATGGGAAGAACTGGCAAGACAAATCTGTACCTCACAATAATTATTATCATAAATCAAGTCAAACCAATAGGCCAGGCACATCTTAACATGCATAAGTAAATTTTTCAAATTGAAGTAGAGTACCTGAATTCCTTGTGACCTAATAAACTGTAGAAACCCAAAACCCATGCAAGAAGGCCAGAATACTTCCATTGTTTGGAATAACTGATACCAGCTATACAAAACGGTAAGTGTGAGAAGATCATGACTGGAAATCCCTGAGTGAAGTACCAGTGCCACTTGTGAGTTCCATAATAGTCTCCACCCGAGGAAAGAAAATTGAATTTTAAAAAATTAAGTGGTACTAGAATCCATGTGCCATACATGAAACAATCCAATAAGGAGGCAAGTCCAAGCACCAGGATCCTGATAGAGTGAGCCCAAGTGTTAATAAAACATGGTCTTTAGGGAGAAGAAAACAGAAAAAGAAAAATCATACATGATGATATATGATTATATAAACATAAAATTCAAAAAACAAACGCAACCCCTGCCTCCAAAACCCATTTACACAATTAAAACTACAGTTTGTAAACAGTCCCAAAACATACCCAATAGGAGCCACCTCCAAAAATATGAACTTCAATTTGTCACGTGATTCTAAAAGCTCAAGCAGGCCAACATACAGCCACGTAATCGCACTTGTTGGTCGAATAGCACAAGCTATTGCCGCTAAAACTAAACCCAACTTCCTAGAAACAAAGGAACGTTCGCCAGAGGATCTCATGCAGGGCCAGAAATACAGAGCCACTAACGTAAGAACAGCCTCCAAGCTATTCGATAGCGTACGAGAAAAACAATAAAACATAAACCAATTTGTCAACTGCGAAAAGAGCTGAGACAGAGTTAAAGTTTTCATACACAGAGCGGGAGAATGCAAAACACCATGAACTTCAACCAATGAAACAAACTCATTACATAGCAAAAAAAAATTAAACAAAAATAATAGGATACAGCCCATTTTGCAACACAGTCACCAAAGAGAACCGCAGAGAGCTTGTACAAGTACAAATCGCCAACCGCAGAGAACACAGATTGCAGTAGCCGCGGAGCCCTCATCTAATAAACAGAAAATATAATTAAAAGAATCACATTGTAAGAAAATAAAAAGTAACACATCCTAACATGGGAAATGAAGCAGAACACACTGACACTTTAATTAAACTGTTACATTTATATACTTAAAATATTTACCATAATGTAAGGGGTATCAAGATGCAATGAGGCGAGAACCCTATAAAGCGGAACGAAGATCATGGGATGCAAGTAGCTTCGGATACCATGTTTCCACTCCCACGTTAAATGACCGTACCTGCCAGATCAGCGCTTACGTGGCATCGATGATGAAACTAAAGAGGGTTTCAGCTGAAAATGAGAGAGAAATGAATGGAAGGGTACCCAAACGCGATTCGATGCGCAACCTCCGGACCCTGCCAGTGTTCGTCAGGGTTGAAATAGCTCTGCACCAAAAGAGAATTCAACATTCGGAATGCCAAGCACAAAGCCAGGACTAGTTTCTGGGAACAACGGAATGGCGAGTGCTCCGAATCTGATTTCGAAAAAATTGGAGCTCGGGAATTGTGTTTATGTGCATCAGAATCATTGGTGCGCCGTCGTCTCATTCTTTGTGAATGTGATTTGTGTTTCTCACTTCCTTTTCTCAGAAGATAGCAAAAATTAGTGACTTGCGGGTTCTTCTTCTGTGCTACGAACCAAGAAGAAAGTGAAATGCCCGTGGATTCGGGTATTAAACCGTATCTTTATCGATCTGACCCGATCCATATTCTGTTGCAGTTATGGGCTGAACATGAGGCCCGTTTTGTGGTCTAACATATTCGACTCACTTCGACTTTTTTTTTTTCACAGAAAAATGCATAAAATCCTCAAATTTATAAAAGAATACTTCAAAACACTTTGTATTTATTAATTCAATAAGTGCAAACAAACTAGTAAATATTTCGAAATACAAGGAGATGCTGAGTGCAATTGAGGTTGACGTGTTTGTTTTTTTAGTATAATACTTTTATTCAAATTATTTAGGTGTCGTGTGATTTTAATTTTACGCTGACGCTAAAGGTGAAATGGATAACTATTATAAAAGAAAATATTATCGTTTTCAACAACTATATTTGAATTGTCTCTATTCATAAAAAGTTACAATAATTGCATTTATTTTAAATTTTTGTCAATATTTTAGCTAATTAGCTATGCGTTCCGATGTTAAAACTATGACTCTAAAATAAATTGAATTTTTGGTTAATAAGGTGAGAAGGAAGCCTAAGATGGTGCTCAGAAAATCGAAGATAAAAAAATGAACTTGAACAAAACCAGAGGTCTAAGTGAAAGTCTTTTCTTTTTTTGGGCCGGGGATTTCTTCTGTCCTAGTCCCAAATCCTAAGACATTAATTATGGCAAGTGTAATGGGTTTCTTTTATTTCATATTTATGTTAATAATGGACTTTTTCTTCATTCAGAATTAAAAACAGTGCCAAATATGTTGGTCTGAACCTGTAAAACAACAGGCAAAATTTAACCAGGGAATTATGTAGGAGATTTAACGAACTTTGTGCATTCAATTAATTATCACTTATATATTTACAGATTCTTAATATTTATACATGCATGTACATAGTTGATGGTTGTATTAAGAAATTCTAATATTAAATTTATTATAAAGATTATATAAAATTATCACGCCTTGCATTCATGCAATTCATGTAAGCCACTAAATAGTAAAACAAAATCAGAACAAGTGAATTTCATTGAGGTACGAGAGTTACCCAAGAAAAGTTCTAGAGTCTAGGTTTCTCTGATTTTTCTGTTACATGGTGGACTACAACAATCTGTTACATGGTGGACCACACGATTGTTGTAGCTTACCTTTTTGTCTACCAAAAAAAAGTGAAAAGGAAGCTCATCTTGTTTATGTCTCAATTACAGAGCTTTAGATAACAGCATTCATTCAGGTAAAAGAAAGATCAAGCCCACAAAGATAGCACCAGTTGGCCGGTTGGTCTTGTCCCTGGAAAAGGTGCCATGAGAACATGATTGTTTTACACAAAGCAGTGCTACTAATTCTTAATATTATAATCAAAATCATAAACCAAACTATAACAATTTGAACCATTGGGCATTCTCTTGGTGCTCATTATATAAATAGTTCATTAAGCAGGTTCTTGATTTGATGTAGCATAGTTCACTATCCTAGTAACATGTCATATGTACAAATTATTTTCTTTCGCTGGAAGACAGATCACAGATACTTTGAATTTAGTAGTAAGGGCGATATTATGTAATAGTTACAAATATATAAGGTACAAAGGTACAAACGGATACAGAAGGTAGTGCTGATTAACATCAATTTCAGTAAAATTGCAGCTCATATTTAGCAAAAGAAGCTGAAATCCTCAGCATATGATTGATGGTTGTGGCCCATGTCTTGTAACGACGAAAATCATCTGCCATGTCTAGCTTGAAAGTGCCTCCTCTTGTCGTTAAAACAATCAGATAACATGTATCAGCATCCTCAGCTTCTGAACCTTTATACAGCTCCGCATGCAGATTCAGTACAATACCTGTAGGCAGTGCTATAAGTCTTTGTGCATTTTAATCTAAGTTTGAATAAAGATAAAGAAAAGAAGAAAAAAACATGATTGGAAAAACAAAAAAGCACATACCCTCCCTCTTGCTTTTGAATAGATTATGTTTCCTCATCATAAGTACAACCTGTAATTTAAGAGTGGGGATCATTGCACCAGTCAGAGAGACAGAAGTATAGCTACACCAATAGTGCTATAATAAATCAAAATGCCTAAGATAATCTTTAGTTCAATTACTCGATATAAAATTCAAAGGGTAAGGTTCCAACTACGCAAGTCTCAATAATTGAGTTAACTTGATCAGATGATTAGAGTATATTTTATTATTAAGTGTATTATTATTAACTGAGTCAGTCCATAGTTCCAGTCCATAGTTCCATTGAACCCAAATAGAAGTAGATATACATAAAAACTACCCATGATCCTTATTACCTTGGCTTCACTGTTTAGGATCACAGACACTGATCTTGGCATGTACTTCCCTGTTTAGATATAATTGAAGTATAAATTAGAAAGTCATAATGATGATTAATGTTAAATAGCTAGAAGTTAAGAATTATGCCACTGCAAGGCAAGTTTTTTTTTTTTCATTATTAATTTACCTTCTGGTGTTTCCACATATAACTCAGCTCCCTGTGCAAGAATGGATCTGCCTTTTTCAAAGTCAAAGTCTAAATCATTGTTGTCTTCAATGGGCAAGATGGGGACTCCCCCATTCAATCTGTTATTGCATCCTGATCTCACTTTAAGTGTGGCTGCACCTTTTAGTGCTGCAGTTGGCCAACACAAAAGGAAGCGATGTTTCCATCAATACCCTCAATTACCTATTTCGTTTGTTGAGTGAAGTGGTACTTTATCTTACAAATTTCTTCATAGATATTAGAAAAGAAAAAGGAAATGGACCTAATAAAAAGTGCTTTTTATGTTGGGGAGGGACACGTCAAGATCCATCTAATTTCAATTGGGCCAGGAATTTTAACACTTTTGCCACCCCAAACAGGCAGATTCTTAGTTCCAAAATCTGTAGCCAAATCTTACATATGTACCCCCCAAAATAAATATATATATAAAAAAAAAGACTAAATAAAAGTATTTAAAAAGATGAGAAAATTACATGTTGCAGCTGCAGCAGTGAGAGTTAGGATATCACTTGTACTTGTGCCACTCATGGCTGAGCCAATTACACTGCTAAGTTGCTCTTTCTTTGCCCCCATTGCTTCAGCTACTTTTGCACACTGAGCAGCTACCAACGCAGCTGCAGAAGCTACTGCTGTATCTCTATCTTGGTTAGACTCATTTTTTGAATTTTCAGCAGCAATGGCAGCTAGAGCTGCTGCAACCCCTGCAACTGATACTGCTGCATGCACCTCTGCTCTTTGCAATCTTTGTTCTTCTTTCCTCTTCATCTTTATTTCCTTAAACCATTTCTTTATTGACACGCTTTTTAGTGGTATGATCTGCTTCCATGGCATCTTCATGTAACCACAACAAACTTACTAATGCCAAGTGAACTAATATACGTAATTGTAGAGAAAAAATTTAGAGAAAAGATCACACACCCATTTCTTTCTGAAACAGCTGTTGTAATTCAATTCAGGATGCATCGCTTGTTGCATCCATATCCATGACTGAAAAGGCATAAGATAAAAAGAAAAGATTACTAGCAATGAAGGGTGGTCTTTTAATATGGAATCAGTTGCTTCTGTGTTGTAATTTCTTACCTTTACATCATTAGACTTCCATGCTGGCAAAGACCTGAAATCTGCACTATCCATTCTAGCACTCTTTTCCATCTCATGCAAAGTTTCACAAATATTGAGCACAATTGAGTAGGTTGAAGAAATTGAATGTGGAATAAAAAATATTAGAGCGAGTAATGCTATATACTCCACTTAATCCTTCTAATATTTTATAAAGTATTATATAAATAATCTATATATATATATAATATCTTAAAAAATAAAGATATATGTTTCATATAGTTAAAGTAGCTTGGCTTGGCTCACCGTAGGATTAGCCTTGGGGCTACCAGGCTCTAATTGCTTCATAGAGTTATTATCAACTAGAACAATTGATCCATGTTGTGGCTCAGGCTGCAGAGCTTGCACGGCAAAGTTACACCATGCAAGTGAAAGGAAATCCATGGTCTCGGGATGTGCATCTGAAGGGGATAGATTAAAATCAGAAGCCATGCTAATGAGATCAATCTTCTGAGCACTAATTATCTTGGAAATGAATGGAACAGGATAATAATTTAGCTCCACTGTCTCAAATATGAATATATGTAGGCAAGCATGCATGCATATTTATACATGCTAAATCACCATGATAAAAATATAATGATTTGTAAATCCCACTATTCCTCTCTCCAGAAAAGAAAAAGGAATTTCTTTTGAACATACAGTATATTATACTCAAAATCAATACCCCCATTAAACAGGACATGACACCGCGACAATAGGATTGATACCACATCTTAACGAGTTTATGGATCTTTTTACTTAAATGCTCGTCACTTATTCTTAATGGTCATAACAAATTCTAAGATTAGTTACAATCTCAATTGTTAATTTTCTAATCAACGATTATTAATGCATTTTATTTTTAAAATACACTTATCTTACTTTAAAAGAATTAAATTACATAACAGGACATAACAAAAGTGGACAGAAAGAAAGTGGCATTATATGCTTCATTGTCACTGATCATATTGATGCATTATACGAAATTTTGAATCAGAAGCAAGGCAAGAGAGATAACGTGGAGATATTTTAGAGCACAATTTGCTAAAGTCCAATTACTAATATCTCGTTATGTTTCTAGGGAACGGGAAAATTGAGCCGATGGAATAATAGTATATTACAGATGGAAAGTGGCGTTACATTTGGTATAATTGTACATGTCTAAATGTGAAGTTACTGATGTGGAAATTAAGGGACCCTCGTGATATTGAAAGTGCTAATTTGCTAACAGATTTTGATTGTAAGAAACAAGCCCTCAAGATTCGAATGAGAGATAACACATGCTAGCCATAATGGAACATTGTGGGATTAGTATGAAGACCCAAGAGGCCGCTTTCTTTTGGGCATCTTTAAT